ATGTTTATGAGTGAGGAGACAACGTATGAACTGAATGAAATAGGAACTCCGAAAGAAGAGGAAGGAGGTAGCGAGATAAGTATAGATGAAATAATGAAAGCAATGAAAAGCATGAAAGCAGGTAAGGCTGCCGGATATGATAGAGTTTCACTCGAAATGCTAAGGGCTGGAGAGGAAGTGGTGGCAGGCCTGCTGCACACCTTGTTTAATTTATGCTGGGAACTGAAGCGGGTACCGGGAGACTGGTGCAAAGCCGTGATAGTCCCAGTATATAAGGGAAAAGGGTCGCAGCAGGACTGTAAAAACTACCGCGGTATCAGCCTTCTTAGCATCGTAGGAAAACTGTATGCCAAGGTACTAATTGAAAGGGTCATGAAAGAAACCGATGGAAAAATTTGGGATGTGCAAGCGGGATTTAGAAAGGGAATGGGATGTACAGATCAAGTCTTCTCCATGCGCATGATCGCGGAGAAGTTTTTGGCCAAAAACCAAAAGGTTTTTGTGCGTTCATGGACTTGGAGAAGGCCTATGACAGAGTGGATAGGAATGTGCTATGGCAAACACTGAACTCATTTGGGTTGCGCGCTGGCTTGATACAGGCATTGGAATCTCTTTATAGGGACTCTAGTGCTTGTGTTAGGATCAACGGGGTCTACTCGGACTGGTTTGGCATCCATAAAGGTGTCAGACAGGGCTGTGTGGCTTCCCCGTGGTTGTTCAACCTATTTATGGACAGTTGTTTGCAAAATTTGAAAGTTGAAGAATGCGGATTAAGAATGGGTGAGTTAACCATCAAATGCCTTTTGTACGCCGATGATCAAGTTATTCTTGCGTCGTCGGTGGCTGAGTTGCAAATGATTGTTACATTAATGAACAGATCATTAAAAGAAAGGGGTATGAAAGTGAACGCAAGTAAGACAAAAATTATGGTTTTTGAAAGAGATGAAAGTAAAACGATATGTGAAATAAGAATAGAAGGGGAGTTGATCGAGCAAGTAGATGAGTGTGTATATTTGGGTTGCGTATTTAGCAGGGATGGGAGATATGATAAGGATATAGAACGACGAGTGAACGCAGGAAATAGAGTAAATGGAGCCCTGCACTCTATTGTGAAGAGTCAAAATGTGTCAAAAAAGGCACGTATAGCAATTCACAATGCTGTGTTGATCCCTACTTTAACGTATGGTAGTGAAAGTTGGGTATGGCAGAAGAAGCACGAGAGTAGAATAAATGCAGTAGAAATGCGGTCGTTAAGGAGTATGTTAGGGCTGAATCTGAATGACAGGGTGAAAAATTGTGTGATAAGAGAAGAGTGTGGTTTGCAAGATGATGTTGTGACCAGGATTAAGAAAGGAATGCTTCGGTGGTTTGGTCATGTGGAAAGAATGGATGAGGAAAGAGTGACAAAGAAAATTTATGTTGCAGAAGTGAATGGCAGAGTCGGAAAGGGACGTCCTAGGCGAAAATTTATCGACCAAATAGGCGATTTATTGAAAACGGGCCAAATTAGGAGTACCCTTAACCGACGAGCATGCATGCGTAGGTGTATGGATGTGAAGGAGGCAGAGAGGTGTGTCAGGATCGTGCCAAATGGAAGTCTGTAGTCTCTGCCTACCCCTCTGGGTGACAGGCGTGAGTGTTTATGTATGTATGTATTATAATGTTTACTCGAAGGCAATTAAAGATATATAATAGTGAATATCTATTCATTTTATTTACTTAATATTCTTTATTGCACACCATACAAAAATTACAGATTCAATATACAAAGGAAGTATACAATGGGCGGTCTTATTGCTGACAGAAATTTCTTACAGAAAACCAATGAATTGACGAAATTACACAAAGATTATAGGAGTAGAGCAAATTGGTGTGATAGAAAAGAATACACAATATATAAAAATAAGTAGTATATAATATGTATATATATATATATATATATATATATATATATATATATATATATACTACAAACATATATACATACGAAAATAAAATAAATATTTATTGAATTATTTAATTAAGTGGTTATCCACTTTTTGAAAGATACTTACAATACGAGGCGCTCATAGCTAAGTCGATCTGAAAAAAAAAATAGAATAGTATAAACCTTGTTTTTTGATAAATGAACACACAGTCTACCTGATGGTAAGTGGGCGCTGTGGCCATAGACACCTACATCTATATCTGATCCGTGAGTTCTAAGATGGAATGTTTTGTGACCAGTAAAAATGTGCTTCAATAAATAAATACTACGTGATACATGTATACTTCGCCTCAATTGAGAGAGTGCCACACAAGAATCTTACTATCCCTTTGGTTGTCGATTCTACGAGCTATATGGCTGGCTCATTGCCAATTCAGCTTACTAATCAATGCTAGGCGAAGTGAAGGGCGGCCTGGTAAGACATGTAGGAAGTCGATGGATGCAGGTGGCTCACAACCGTGCTTTGTGGCATACCTTGGGGGAGGCCTTTGTTCAGCAGTAGACTCGTGAAAGGCTGTAACGATCATCATGATTATAATATATTTTATATTTTTAATTATTTATTTATTAAATTATATTAATCTTTTAACATCGAAAGTTAAAGTACCTTTTTAAGTATTGGAGGGAGATTGATGACAGCATCCGAAAGGTGCTTTACTATGGATGTACACAAAAAAAATCATGTGTAAGTCGTCGTGAAGGCAGTTAAAATGAATTAAACATCAGTTTTTTCATTATTCTTAAATAAAACACGGAACAATAATTAAACGAAAGCAGTTTGATCACGTACAATGGCTCTACGAGCTGCTTCTTATTTTCCATTATCCACCCTTTCCTCGTAGAGTTTAGGAAAAAATTAAAAGAACTGCGTAGAAATGAACTAAAATTGATCTGAAGTACAAATTGGAATTCATTACAATAAAAATACAATTGACCCCATTTTGACCAATGGCGATGCCAGTTTCGATATGATCTGCATAGGTACCAATATCTTTCTGTGAATGTTTTCCAATTTTATTCTGAACTTGAATACCTAATTCCGATGTACAAAATGTTAATCAGTTTGGCGATAGTATGACGTGAAGTCGCTTATCGCCGCAAGCACATAGTGTTGTGGTACGAAGCTCGCGGATGTTGCCAAGCGCGAGGCTAAGCTGGCGTTCCGGTCGTCTTTTTTATGATCTATCAGCAAAATAATTAGTTGGCCGTAGTTAGGACCCTGCTTTTATTCTTTTTTTATTAACCCTGCCGAAGAGACTAAAGACAGTGTTAACAATAATATAAAGACGAATAAAGCTTAGGAGTCTATAAACAAACAAAAAATTCGTTGAATTTAGTAGTTGGGAGAAAACAAACCTCATCAGCGCGCTAATTAAGTTGACAACGACTTTATTAAAAAAAATATTTATAAAATTAGCAGCGTTACAACTTATAATTAATTCCAAAACTAATATCAATCTTACAGTTAACTTATCCTGGTATTTATATTAAAATATATCTTACTAAGCGATCCGTACGGCCTAATTCTTAGGAGTGCTTGTGAAGCAGATATTAGAGGGGTCATCACACTTAACCCGCTCCGTAGCACCGTCAAATAAGACTGTCAGTCGTAGGACTGCACGTCAGAATTAAAAACTTCTTACCATATACATTTATATGTATGTGAAGCTTATATATTTATGTGTTGTATGTGTGTATAATTAAATATATAACGTTACCACACACACACACACACACGTGTGTGTGTGTGTGTGTGTGTGTGTGTGTGTGTGTGTATGTGTGTGTATCTGAGCGTTACGGTCACGCGAGTTCAGTTTCTATTACCCATTACAAAAGTGCCCACCGTGCCTAAGGAAGTTTTTACTTCAAAAAATCTGGACACCCCGATTGGATCCCTACGGATATTTATAAGCTTTATCTATAATATCGAGTGAATAAAATGCTAACTCGAAACCCTTAGAAACACTGCCTCCGTTACATTAGAATTACATTATTAATTACATTACAGCCTACCCCAAGGAACGGCACAATCCACAAAGCACGGCACTGAGCCATCAGCATCTAGAAAAACCTTTTTATACTTGACGAATTATCACTCTGTTTTTGTTAATTAGCCTTAAATAGAAGAGTTTTGTTGGAATAAAATACTATAATTCCAAAGTTTTCTATAAATATGAATTGACTTTTTAATGTTTTAATAATAGACAAATAATATAGCATGAATTGTTAACAATTATTAGATATATAGATATTTAAAGTTTAAGATAAAAATAATAATTTGTATTGACATAATATGAGGTATATATAAGATTGGGCCAAGTAGCCCGCCTTGGTCTATGTCCAGCCGTGGACTGCCGCAGGCTGATGATGATGATGATTACAAATAGCCTATGAAGCCTCTGAATACTAAACTAGGTAAGAACCTGTATGTCGGGATTCAGTGCCTTCGCCCATGTTTCTTTGCCTAATTAATTTATGTCAAAACAATTTTCCAATTACAGCCTATATAAGTCCCACAAGTGGGCACAGGTTTCCTCTCTATTCTCAGAGAGTTTTAGGGAAAGGAAGTGTTCGCGCTGTCTCAATGCATGTTGGCAAACTTCTCATGTCTTTGTGATATTTTTCTTATTTCTCAGACATACCGGTTTCCTCACAATGTTTTCCTTCACCGCCGAGCACGTGCTAAATCAACACTTAAAATTGTAAATAACAACTTCATTGATACCAGCCGGTATCAAACTCCAGTTCTTAGATATTATAGTATTATAATAGATAATACTTACCAATAAAAACAGAAGAAGAACTTTTGCGTCCATCTTGACGATGTCTTTGCCGCACGTTGGAAAGTTGTAACAGCGCACGCCTTTTATATTAATATCCAAACATACCTAGACAGTTTTGTTTAATTTTTGTTTTGAACAATGCGGCTTTAATGTACATAAAATGTAACAATAATGAAAAAAAATCTGCTTGTCCTTTCGTACACTGTTATAATATTCAAGTGCTACATGAAATGCCATCTCGGGGGTAAGAGAAATGAAATATTCTCTTTAATATTATAAAGTATTTTTACTCCAAATATCCACCTGAACTGCTCGTAGTGCATATTATTAACTAACAGATGACGTCCCAACTAAAAACTGATAGCTGAAAGCTGATCCAAATATCTTTTTTTTTCTTCAATCCGTAAAGCCTATTCCTGATCACGAGCCCCTCCTTTCATGGTGGATTTATGTCGACGAAGGGAAGCCTTTACAATAAGATTTTTACCTAAACAAAAAAAAATTAAAAAGGGTCTCTGGTTCTCTACACTCATCATACGAAAGACAGCAGCATTTAGCTGCTGTTTTACGCTGGTATTCAGTGACAGCGTGGTCCTACCCCTACAATAAAGCTGCAGCATGGCTTTAACACGTAAAAGGATAAAAGTTTAATTTTATAGCTAATAAATGTTACAATCCTCTTTTTTAAACATATAGAGCCAAAGTTTTAGAGTAATAAATGAAAAGAATATTTTCTTTCAAGGAAAATTGTTTTATAATAGCGCCATCTACTTCATTCTATAGATAAAGTAATTTTATCGAATAAAACCTGATTAAATAAAAGTGGTGCTAGAAATAGATTATTCTAAGTAATTTATTATAATATTATATGTATGTTTATCTCTTTATAATGTCGCTTTTTCATTTCTTCGAAATTCTTTTTGTTTCTGTTTCCTAAACAAAACTTACGTAGCCTTTCTTTTGATTTACATTAACACTTTAATTCCCTGATGCGATAGAGCCACTCCAGTAGCACCTCAACTTATTGTATCTGATAACTACAGGGTAGTTTCGGTTATCATAGTTTTATTGTAATAATAGCGCCATCTAATTACTGCTCAATAAACTACAATTCCATTAAATATGTACTTATTGTTGCAGCATCAAAAATTTTCAGACCGGTATATAGTCCGGTGACCACTGTCTGCATGATTTATCATAATTATCAATTTTAGCAAAATTATTAACAAAACTAAATCCATTATATATCAATAGCGTATATCATTAGCGTACTTGCAAGTGCGCCGGAAGTTCAAGGCTCTGATTGAGTTTTGCCTTTGCTCGGACAATTCCTTGCTTTTCGTATAACGCTGCGTGCACACATTTAAATGTTACTTTGTAACTTATAAATGCATTTCTATTCTAGCTTAAAAAGGGTTTAAAATCGTACGGAAACACCGAACGACATTCTGCGGAGTTACGTCTTTTTACCACTGGATATACTGGCGAACACACGCAAGGCACACCGGCTCTCTGTGTTATTATTAAGCTATATGGGTTGATTATGGACGCCTAGTAATGTAATAACTGAGTAGCGATTACTGTCCCCAAAAAATTCTAAGCAGCAATGCAATGTATGGCCCGCATTCCAATGATCCTAGCGTAACCACTGGTTTAAGTCAGTATGATTCCAATTACAATATCCGTTGTGGAGTCCATGGGTTTTTCTGTGTTAAAAATAACACGGCACTCTTGATGGGCAAATTGGCTATGGCAGCATAGACATAGACATAGACATTTTGCCCCTTTTTTATAGGATAAGAGTGACAAATGAGCACACAGTCCACCTGATGGTAAGTGGTTGCTGCCGCTCATAGATCTCGATCTACATCTATCCTCGATTACGAATCAAAATGCGGATGCGTAGTCATCCGTGAGAACTAAAATGGAATGCCTCGTCACCAGTAAAATAGGTCTCCGGTTTTCTACACTCACCACGATAAAATTATTCTAGTAATCGAGGAATTTGGTCCTTCTCCGGTCGAGCGACCCATTCGTGCTACTAATATACTATTAATATAACTGCAGCATGGCTGTACCAATGCAGCAGTGGGCAAATGTTGTAGTAAAATTAGGTATTGGGTAGAGGATTCTCTATAAATAATTAATTATCGCACGAGCAAAACCGCGGTACTTGCCCATGTTTCACAGTTTTAATGTTGACACAGCTGTCACAATATATTCCTATTGTTCTTTTAATATTTATTCAGCTAGAATGCATTAAACGCTTATTGTTTCACCTCCGGACCCACACCGCCTGCAACTTTACAAGGCGCAGGTTCGGCTGCAGATTGAATACTGTTCCCATCTCTGGGCTGGGGATCCTCAGTACCAGCTCCTTTTACTTGACTGCATCCTGCGCAGAGCGGCTCGAATCATCGACGACCGAGTGCTTCCGATCGGCTCGATTCACTGGCGCTGCGAAGAGATGTTGCATCTCTTTGCGTATTTTATCGCATCTATCACGGGGGAGTGCTCTGAGGAATTTTTCGGATTAATCCCAGCCGCCAAATTTTGTGAACGCACTACACGGCAAACCTCCCGATACCATCCACACCATCTGGATGCTTGGCGGTTCACCACTGTAGGTTTCACAAGGAGTTTTCTTCCGCGTACGACCTCTCTATGGAATAGTTTAGCACCGGCGATTATCCCGGACCGATACGACCTGGGCCTTCAAGAAAAGAGCTTACTCCTTTCTAAAAAGCCGGCAACGCACTTGCAATCCCCCTGGTGTTTTCTGATGTTCATGGGCGGCGGAAGACGCTTATTATCAGGTGGACTGCGTGCTCGTTTGTCACCCTATCCTATTAAAAAAAAACTAAATAAATTGTAATGCAAAAAATTTACAAGTTTATTTCCTCAATAAAGTTTCTAAGTGAGTCCTATGGTTAGATATTGTACTGTACGTACCGGTTTTACAGCTCTTTTCTGTTTTTAATATCAGCAGCTGATCTCCACAGCAATAAAACATAACACTAAGGAAATAACAGAAATAAACCAACCTTGCTATATCTACATCAGAATGGACTTATTTATTTTATACATACACATCTAAACTAAGTATCCTTGCCAAGGCTACATCATCATCATCATCATCATTACAGCCCTTCACAAGTCCACTGCTGAACATAGGCATCCCGCAAGTAATGCCACAAAGCATGGTCCTGAGCCACCTAAATCCATCGACTTTCTGGATTTCTTACCAGGTCGTAACTCCATCTAGTGGGTGGTCACCCAGGTATACGTACTCATCAACAACTTTGAGCTTAGTGTTCCCAACAATTACTGGCATAGGTATGACATGGACATTACACATGATCTTTGTTTTGTCCATGTTCATCTTAAGACCTATCCGTCGGGATATACTATTGAGGTCTATGAGTATAGTGCCAAGGTACTCCATAAGGACTATATCCACGGCAAATCGAAGATGAGTGATGTACTCGCCACTTACTTGACCTCCTATTGAGGCCTTGTCACGAAGATTACACTTTGACTGCGAGTCCAATAGTGATTAACGCTTATCACGTAATCCGTAATTTTTATATTTAAATCCAATAGCTGATTTTTGCCCGACGCGAGATCCGAACGCAGATCCATAATCAGTAGTATGCTTACGACCAAAAACTAACGAACAGTCTCGTACTCAATGAAATAGTGTATAAACAAAAAGTTCCAATTTTATTACATTAAAAACGATAAGCGAAACAATTCAAATAAGTACATAAGTATTTTATGTGGATTGCAAGCAAGGCCTTACGCTAGAAACATGTTACTACACGAATGAAAAGTATGCTTGTTATTCCCGTTTTCATTTTAGGTAAGTCTGATCTTTCAAAAAAATTTAAGACTTCCATCAAGCTGGAAGTAAAACGTTGTTTTTTTTTCATAATATAATAAAGGTGATAACAAGCACACAGTCCACCTGATGGTAAGTGTATGCTGTGGTCCATACACACCCGCCTGTATCTTCTATTAAGAATCAAAATGCAAATGCGTTGTCACCCATGAGGACTATAAAATAATAATAATAAAATAATTTTTTATTCAATGTAGATTACACGTAATTCTTATTGAAAGTCAATATTTTACGTTACCACGGTTCGAAAAAACCTCTGTCATGGGAAGAACCAGCAAGAAACCCAGGGGGACTTTTTTTTTAAATAAATTTTATAATATCAAGGGTCACAAAATATTTACCAAATTTATTTTAGAAACAGCTTGGAAGCCACCACCTCATTCCCAGGGGTTATTTTCAACCACGTATTCATTTTTGTCATAATAACCCTTTTTATACAGTTTTTGTTTAATTAATTATTTAAACTTGGTAATAGGGAGACATTGTATATTTTCTGGGACTTTGTTGTAATAGCGTATACAATGCCCCAAGAATGAATTACTGACTCTGTGGAGTCGAGAAACTGGTAGCACCAGCTTGTATTTGTTCCTAGTGTTTACAGAGAGTATGTCACTTTTTACTAAAACTATATTTTTTGAACATACATCAAATTTTCATAGCTATACTGAGAGGTTAAAGTTAATATATTTATTTCTTTAAAATTTTCTCTAAGAGACACTCTCGGCTTAAGTTTGTAAATAGCTCTAATGGCCCTCTTCTGCAAAACAAAAATAATTTCTAAATCAGCCGCATTCCCCCATAGCCAAATTCCATATGACATTATGCTATGGAAATAACTGAAACAAACTAATCTAGCTGTCTCGACATTAGTGAGACCTCTAATCTTTTTTACAGCATAAGCTGCAGAGCTTAGTCTGCTTGCTAGTTTAGATATATGGGGGCCCCACTGAAGCTTAGCGTCGAGAGTGATGCCAAAAAAACAGAGGACTCAGTTCTTCCCCATTTAAAAACACATTGGTACTCGGATTATTAACATTTGTTGTTGTAAATTTATTACATTTAGCTTTATTGCCGTTTAAATGTAGATTATTAACGTTAAATCAATGCACTAATTTCGATATAGCATTATTCACTTCGTCACATTTAAATGATTGACGTTTAAGTTTAAAAATCAAGGAAGTATCATCAGCAAATAATACTATATCATGATTATCCCCTACAAGGGACAGTAAGTCATTAATATACACTAAAAAAGAAATGGGCCAAGAATTGAGCATTGAAGAACACCCATCTGTAGGGGCCATCCGGAAGAACTTTTACCATTGATAACAACTTTCTGCACTCTATTACTTAAATATGAAATAACTATTTTAAACGCTCTGTTCTTGACACCATAGTACTGTAGCTTCCTGATTAATGTCCCATGGTGAACACACTGGGATGGAATGCCTCGTTTCCGGTCAAAATGGTCTCCGGTTCTCTACACTCACCGTACAAAACACAGGAGCATTAAGCTGCTGTTTTACGCTGGTATTCTGTGAGAGCGTGGTCCTTCCCCGATCGAGCCGACCCATTCATGCTACAACCATAATAGCTGTTTTTTTAATTTTTCACTCAAATCTTATCTCATTAATTTTCACCTTCACACATCTAATATTTTTCAAGCAATCTGAGTGCACGTTAGTTTTATAATTTAATTGTAATACATAGTATATAAGAAGATTAGCAACACTATCGTAGAGGGTTTGTTTAGTCTGTGATATTTGCTAAGTGTACGTGTGTGTGTGTGTGTGTTTTGTATAGGATATGGTGACAAACGAGCACACAGTCCACCTGATGGTAAGTGGTTGGTGCAGCCCATAGACATCTTCGATCGATTACGAATCAAAATGCATCGTGATCCTTCCCCGGTCGAGCCGACCCATTCGTGCTGCATGCAGCGGAAATGCACCACGTATTAATACACGTGTGAGTGTGTGTGTGTAAATAAATGAATAAATAAATATTGCAGTTTTCGTTTCAAACAAAATTGCTGCATACAGCTTGGAAGAAGTATTTTCCGTCCAGAGTAAAAATGCAGATCTTGTAAAACTACACCCTGTCATCAAAGAGCATAGAGAAGAACTGAAAAGGCTAATAAAGGTTTTAAACAATCAAGTGGGAGCACACTCGAAAAAAACCGATAGTGAAGTTGCAGATGGTGAGTGAAATTGACAACGATCAGTAACGACTCGCGTATACATGTAATAATATTATAATAATAATAATAATATTTCCCTTTCCCCCTAACCCTCGGCCGTCTGGTCTCCCCTGCCGAGGGCTCCCATCTGGTTGGATCTTATTTATTTATGTAGTTTTTGTATTTATTTTATTTTATTGATATTTATGTACATTTATCTTTTTATTTTAATTTATAATTATATATTTATAGAACCCAACCAGGTGAGAAAATTATATAGATACCAAAAAAATAATAATAGGTGAGTCACTTAGGCATGTCATCTCCGGTTGTTCGGCGCTTTCTAACTCTGAGTACTTGCACAGGCACAACCTAGTAGCCAGAATTCTTCACCAGGAGCTCACTCTGAAATACGGTCTCGTGGACCAGAAATTGCCGTATTACAAGTACTTGCCGGAAACCGTGCTCGAAAATACAATATAAGTTTAGTTTCTCCGAGGATACAATATAAGTTAATGTGATCCGTTACTTTCTTTTTGGTTCCACTACTACGAGAAAAAAAGATTTTTTTAAGTGATTTTTACTAAAGTAAAAATTATGTTTCGGGCTAGATTGCGACATAACGATCTCGTATAATCGCTTCCGTTACCGTTACAGCATGTACCCAATCCCACTGCTGAACGTAGGCCTCCCCCATAGATTAGCTCATAGGCGGAATTTCGCCATAGTTGTAATGTTACTGTTGATTTAATAATTTCACCTCTCAGTGGGCCATGTGCTCCTGGTAATTTATCTTCTATACATCCATCCATTACAACCTATTAAAGTCCACTGCTGAACATAGGCCTCCACCAGATTACCTCATAGGAGGAATTTTGCCATAGATATTACTGTTGATTTAATAATTTCACCTCTCAGTGGGTCATGTGCTCCTGGTAGATTATCTTCTATACATCCATCCATTACAGCCTATTAAAGTCCACTGGTGAACATAGGCCTCCCCCATAGATTGCCTCATAGGCGGAATTTCGCCATAGTTGTAATGTTACTGTTGATTTAATAATTTCACCTCTCAGTGGGCCATGTGCTCCTGGTAATTTATCTTCTATACATCCATCCATTACAACCTATTAAAGTCCACTGCTGAACATAGGCCTCCCCCAGATCACCTCATAGGAGGAATTTTGCCATAGATTTTACCGTTGATTTAATAATTTCACCTCTCATTGGATCATGTGCTCCTGGTAGATTATCTTGTATACATCCATCCATTACAGCCTATTAAAGTCCACTGCTGAACATAAGCCTCCCCCACAGATTACATAGGGGAATATTTGCCATGGTTGCCACTCTGGGGGTTGGCAACCGCAACTTTTTTATTTTTAGTCGTTGTTAGGAAGATGCTGTTAGGAAGACGCTGTCGTCCATCTCCTGCCTATGTTTCCTTCTGTCGCCTCTTACGACACCCACGGGATGAAATGAATAATGGATATTGTTGTATCCGCGAATGCACGATTAACGCTCGTATAACCTAATTTTCTCCTATATTTAAAGAAGCTTTCTTTGAAATATACGTACTACTATTTTAACTATAATGAGAACTTTGGAACAAAATAAAACACAACATTGGTATTTATGTCTGTTTTATGCATATTTTCCCTAACAGTACATAAATGATACATGCATAGTGTATGATATTAAATGATTTCGTTTTATTTACTATACCTTCTCTAAAATTACACATATGCGCATTTTAATAATAACTAGCGCAATATTTAGGCAATATTCTGCAAGGTGGTCCATAAGTCGTTAGAAATGTAAATTTCGAATAAAATACAAAAGGCGCGCATGAGTGGCGCTCGCGGTGCGGGAGGAGTACCGACAGTTTCTGGGAATTCAGTCGCCATGGAGCGTTTCACCGGTGCGGACCGTGCATTTTGTGTGCGCGAGTTTTATCGAAACAATGATTCGGCTACCATTGCGCGGCGTAAATTTCGAGAATATCAGAATTTACGCAACTTTAAAGACATTCCAAGTGTTCAAACGATTAAGAACTGGGAACTGTGTTTCGTATGGTGAGTGTAGAGAACCGAAAACCCCTTTTACTGGAAACGAGGTAATCCATCTTAGTCCTCATGGGTGACAACGCATCTGCATTTTGATTCGTAATAGAGGATAGATGTAGATGTCTCTTGACCGCAGCAACCACTTACCATCAGGTGGACTGTGTGCTCGTTTGTCACCCTATCCTATATAAAAAAACACTAGGTTTTTCTCCTTTACCGTGGAGGCAGTTTAAATACATAAATTGCACAACAACAAACATCCAGACCCGGAACAATTACTTGGCCATATAAATACTAGTTCCGAGCGCGCTTCGAACCCGCGGCCCTCAGCGCTATAATTCATTGCAAAGCTACTGCGCCACGGAGCTGTCAAACCTTATAGCTCGAAGAACTAACAGTCGATCGTTATTAAGTTCGAAGAGAGTGGTTCGACGTTGGATAAACAACGGTCAGGTCGACCAAGGACATCACGGACGGAAGAAAACATCGATGTAGTGAAACACTCAATTCGTGAAAATCCTACCCAGTCTACTCGTAAGCGTTCCAGTGCATTAAACTTACCCAGAACATCGTTACAGCGAATTTTAAAGAAAAATTTACATCTTCACCCGTACAAGATTCAGATAGTACAGGAATTAAAAGATACTGACACTATCCACAGACTAAATTTCGCAAATGAAATGTTGAACCGCTTTACTTCGTTTAATAACGTGTTATTCTCTGATGAGGCTCACTTTCACATCAACGGCCATGTCAATAAGCAAAATTGTCGCTACTGGAGTTCCGAAAATCCAAATCGCAAACATCAAAAGCCCTTACATAGCCCTAAAGTGACAGTTTGGGCGGCTATGTCAGCGCATGGCATTATAGGCCCTTACTTTTTTGAAGACGGCAGAGGCCGCGCGCTTACTGTTACTTCACAACGGTATGTAGCTATGATCCAGGACTTTTTTACACCAGAGTTGCAGAATTTTCCAGGCTTCAATACGCGGACCTGGTTTCAACAAGATGGAGCAACTGCCCATACCTCTAACGTCGCTATGCCGGTCGTCCGTCAACTTTTCCCTAATAAAGTGATCTCTCGAAGAGGAGATATTCCTTGGCCACCACGTAGTCCAGATCTGACCCCAATGGACTTTTTCTTATGGGGTTACCTTAAGACTAAAGTATACGAAACCAACCCGCGGACAATTGACGTCCTGAAAGAAAATATCCAAAGAGAAATGGCAAACATTACAGAGCTTACTTGCCGCGCAGTGATGGATAATTTTAAACGTCGCTTAAAGGAGTGCCGCGATCGTAACGGATTACATTTAGATGATGTAATTTTCAAAAAAAATCCCATTTTATAAGGATTATGACAAAATAAAAACCTTTTTCATAATGTCATTAGTTGTTTTTTAATTATTTTTTTACATTTCATGGGACTTATGGGCCACCCGGTATATGAAGGAAGTTTATTGCTGCACGGTAGAAAAGGTAAAACAATACAGAAATTATTAAGGATGCGGATACAGACAGGCGAATTATCTTTATATTTATAATTATAGTGTGCGTGTGCTTGTAATTCTTCTTCTCCTAAACAGCTTGACCCATTAACAAAATGTTTATGGGAATAACCCATAAATATATCGGGTAATTCGAATATTTTTTGGCTATAGTTAGTGTGGCCGAAGAAAGGAAAAGGCTAGATCCCCCGCCGGGTAAGGTGTTCTGCCCGGGGAGCGGCTAACACTCCGTGTGATAGTTCGGAGATGTTCTATATATACTGTTTATGATTCGGAATTTTGATAGCGTGATTTAGGCTTCGGTGTGTTTCGCTTGCGGCGCGACGACATCGCCGCCACATCACCCCCCTGTTCAGACCGGAGGTCGATGGTACAGTCTAGTTGTCGACGAATGTGCAAGTGCCAGTGGATTGCTCTATAGTCTGCGGTGAGACGAGAAGAAGGCAAGTAATCTGCGAGAGTGCCGTGAAGCAGAGGCGAACAGTAAGACCCAGAGCCGTGCCTAACAATGTAGCGCAGAGTGTAACTTGAAATAACAGGAAGCATTATTATTCCAGCGCTGCGATTAACCTTGTGAAGCTAAATGGCTTGCAGGATATGAAGACTGCAGACGATATCTGCTCGGGAGTGAATAGGTAGGGTATTCTATGACGATGATGAAGCTTGAAATTTTCCAAAGGTTGTTGGTTGCGTGTTCAGATCACGTCGATTAATCACCACTGTGGCCGGAGAAAGGAAAAGGGGAAATCTCCAGCCGGGCAAGGTGTTCTGCCCAGGGAGCGGCCAACACTCCGTGTGATAGTTCGGAGATATTCTATATATACTGTTTATGATTCGGAATTTTGATTGCGTGATTTAGGCTTCGGTGTGTTTCGCTTGCGGCGCGACGACAGTGCCGCCACAGTTAGACTCGGTAGGTGGCGATGTAGTCGAGATTCATAAATCAAAGCAAAGCCGTGGCGGAACGCTAGTCATTATACTATATAATGTAATCAGACTGAATCTCGGTCACAGCTAAGAGTTACAGCGCTGAGCGCCTTTGTTTTGAATCCAGCACATGGCCTACGAATAATCGTTCAGGTTCAGAACTTTTTTATAGGAGAGGAGGCAAACGAGCATAAGGCATCACCTGATGGTAACTGATTACCGCCGCCCATGAGCAACTGCAACACCAGGGGAATTGTAAATGCGTTTCCGGCCTTTTAAAAAGGAGTAGGCTCTTTTCTTGAAGGTCTCTAAGTCTGGTGGTAGTCGATTCCACAAGGAAGTTGTATGAGGAAGAAAACTTCTTTTAAATCGCACTTGTTTATGGATATATTAATGAATGTTAGTCAATGTGCAATATAAGTATGGAAACTGCCTCTACGATACAGGAGATAATAGTGTGAGAATAACGTTTATAAAGAACAAAATGAATCTATGGTATCGATATTAAAATTGCTTGAGTAAAAATTTACGGTCACATAGATCCCACTGCTGGGCAGAGGCCTCCTCTCGTTTCTGAGGTTTATGAATCAACAAGTATTATTTTATAGAATATGGATGACAAACGAGCAAACAGTCCACCTGGTGATAAATAGATGCTGCGGTCCATAGACATCTACATTTATCCTATACAGCAGCATTCACTTTTACGCTGGTATTCTGTGAAAACTTGTTCAAACCCCGGTCGAGCCGACGCTTTCGTGCTACAACCATAATATAGCTGCAGCGTGGCTCTACCACGCGTAATTATTACAAGCCAGTTTATATTTATTATAAGCCAGTGCACCCCAATCCCACCTCGTGGTAAGTTGTGATGAAGCCCAAGCCTATTCACTAAAGCCTATTCACTCTTACCTTGAAGATCTAACTTATTCATTCAAAAATTCATTATCCGCAGAACCTAACTTAGAAGACGTTCAAGTAGAAGAACAAGTGACGCGACTTAAGGCACTCTTGAAACTCCTACAAAAGAATTACGATTATCAAGTCCACTATGAAAAACAACTTGAGAACCCTTCAAAATCCAGAGTTTACTTTATTGAAAATCCCGAAGTTCTAGAAGATTTTCGGAGAAATTTAAGACGCGAGCAGTATGTAAATATTCATTTATTAATACTATCAAAAGTTCCATTGCTGCATACAGGCTTTTCTTTATTATATATTTCCGTATTAATATATAGATATTCATTTTATTGAATAAAAACTAATAACATACGGTACATAATCACTACTTTTTTTATAGGATTGGGTGACAAACGAGCGCACAGTCTACCTGATGGTAAGTGGCCCATAGACATCTACATCTATCCTCGACTACGAATCAAAATGCAGATGCGTCGTCACCCGTGAGGACTAAGATCGAATGCTTCGATTCACGAAAACGAAGCAGGGTCTCCGGTTATGTGCAGAGAATCTTTTACTGTACAATGCTAAGACATTATTGTATTCGGCTTGTGTTTTCTTTATTTGCAGCATTTAATCACATCCTCAATTTAGAATCAAAATATAGATGCATTGTTATCCGCAGAACGCACGGATGGAATGCCTCGTTTCCAGTGAAGACGGTATCCCGTTCTTTACGCTCACCATATGAAACACCAAGCATACAATAGCATTGCTATTGTCTTAACATTGTATCCAAAGAACGGACATTTTAAGAGTTAACCTGCTTTTGCACTCTGGTACTTTGTTCCGGCGTGGTACTTCACCTCAGACTAATAAAGTGAGATAAACAGAACACTATACGAATTTCTACTAAATAGTAACGCTAAACCATGCCCAGCTTAGTGTAAGAACGCGTATTCACGGACACATAACTAAAATTAAAGTTACAGCCTATGTACGTCCCATTGCTCGACACAGACTCTCTCATTTCTAAAAGGGTTGCTCATTTGTCACCCTCATTCTTTAAAAAAAATACTTAAAATTTTCTTATTACAATCTTCTTTCAGGAAATCAACATCTTCTGAATCCAGTGACTCTTCAGACTTCGATGGGAGCTCGAAAGGTCAATTGTCAAACTACAGACAGGAATCTTTAACGCAAATTGACGACAAAGATGGTATTTTTAATATCGTTGCTAATGCCGCAGTCTGAGTTAGAACGATCTGTAAATCACAATATAATATTGGGCGTACAATTTTTACAAGTGTTAATTGCAAAATTCATATTTCATGTGAAAACAGCACTAATAATTTGTTAAAATAACTTTCCTTCGAAATCTTATCCCGAGCAGAAAAAGCAAAGGAATCATAGTACATACAGCCATGACCGTGATCGAAATGTTTTCTAAATGAAATTTAATGGTTTTAGATAAAAAATCACATATGACTACTTTATCTTACCTGGCGTAACGTCAACGTACACGTACGTTTTATTTTTTGTGTCTATAGCATTGTATCTTTCGAATGGTTCAAGTTTCATTCCTTTCCTTTTATAAGACTAAAGCGAATCTATTATCTAATTCAGTCCCGTGAGTATCGTATAAGACAAATATGGAAAATGCCACAAAAATCTTATGGCTTCCCATTCATCTTACCTCACTGTTTAGGCGACAAGATGCAGCGACAAAAGTACGAAAGGACTGTCTGTGATCACCAATCCGTATACAAAACGTAGTCTCTAACAATCATAGCCAATCTTCCTAATGATTGAGTAATTCAATGTCAAGCGATGGATATTTACGGTTTGATGATGTAGAAGTATTTGAAAAATGAATTTAAAGTGCTGACAAATCGCGAGATCAATGGTGTAGGAACACATTCTAACGGTACCTGCATATCTAAAAAAGCCTTGCCTCATTAGTCTAGTGAAGTAAGTGCGATTGCAGATCTTGAGGTTCCGGTTTCGAATCATTTGCAGACCAAAATCAGTTTTTTTATAGTATAGGGTAACAAACGAGCACACAGTCCACCTGATGGTAAGTGGTCGCTGTGGTACATAGACATCTACAACTATCCTCGATTACGAATCAAAATGCAGATGCGTTGTCACCCGTGAGGACTAAGATGGAATGCCTCGTTTCCAGTAAAAGGGTCTCCGGTTCTCTACACTCACCATACGCAACACAGCAGCATTAAGCTACTATGTTACGCTGGTATTCTGTGAGAGCGTGGTCCTTCCCCGGTCGAGCCGACCCATGCTACAACTATACTACTAACTGCAGCGCGGCTCTACCACGTATAAAAGTTATTGGGGTTTTTCTGTCAAAAAATTCTCAATAGCAGTCCGCAATCAGGATGCTGGTAGTTCTTCACACCATGCCTCAGAATGTACGTAAAACCATTGGTTCTTCTCCTGATTTCTCCCCGGTCCTTAAATCCTTTTTAATTCGACTGTAAGTGTATTAGATAAAATGTATTAAACCATTAAGTAATCAAAAACTCTGCAACACTCAGTCCATAGATAAATTCTAGTTTTTATTTTTTCTATAAAGGATATTAATAGTTAATTCACAACCATCCACTCAATTAAATACATTGATGTGTCTTACCTAGATTGAAGAGCACCTCCCGCATTCCCTCAATTGCGTGCACTAATCCCGTCACCACTTATTCTGGCACCACTACTCCCAACACCACTACTCCCGGCACCACTACTCCCGGCACCACTACTCCCGGCACCACTACTCCCGGCACCACTACTCCCAGCACCACTACTCCCAGCACCACTACTCCCGGCACCACTATTCCAGGAAAGACAGACCATCAACGATAATACAACTCTTCAATCCAGGTAAGACACATCATTGTATTTAATTTAGTGGATGGTTGTGAATTAACTATTAATATCTTTATTATAATGGATTTCCGCAAAGTAACGCCTAATTCTATAAATTGTTCTTTCTATTGTTGGGATTAAATTAAATTAAATGAATCGTACCAGAAAGTTGCGCTGCGTACGATACAGGTATTTCTAATGCAACTTTACAGCAGCTTCCAGGGACTACAGGGATAGATATAACAATGAAAAAGACAACCTTAACCCTTCGGACTACTTCTTTAGAAAATCTATTGCAATCCAACCTAGAACTCACGACATTTTAAAAGAAATCCGTTTTCCAAACCGTTTTAAGATTGCAAATGGCAAGGGCGAAGACGTGAGAAGCATTTTACGAAATAACGTTAATGAAAACAAAAAAAGATCTGACGAAATCTACGATTCCCTTTATCTAGATATTAAAGACGAATTGTCATTGGAAAAGGTAAAAGAAAGTCATGAAAAATTTGATAAAAAAAGAAAAGGGAAGGTGAAAGTTTATAAACCAAAAAGGAGACCTAAAAAATACATTAAAGAAAGTTCCAAAGCTAATCGCATAGGCAGAGTGAACAAAATGAAAAAATATGGGCGATGGGCGAATAAAAATGGAAATTTCAAAATTGAAAGGAATCCTAAAGTTTACAAACCTAAATCTAGACCTAAAGCTGCATTTGACAATTATGCGAACAGTTACACACAAGATAAAATTTCGCCTCCATTTGGGAGAACTAGCGCACCTATGATCAGTAAGAAAAGTATTTATGAGGAGGAGGAATAAACAGGATTTTTATAAATTTTTGATTTTTTTTTCTTAAATCATTGGTATTTGCTACTGATTTACCTTTGGCTTAATTTAAAGTGCATGTAAAATAAATCTCATGAAAAATTAAAATTCACTGATGGGCTTACTAGGTAAGACTTCTTCTCTGCACAGAAGTCGGTCTGAAGAGATGCTTACTTCAAACCTATTCCTACCGCCAAGTATCATACACTGCTGTGTTTCAGTCTGAAGGGTATAAAAGTTAAAGTTAAAGTTACAGACTATATACGTCCCACTGCAGGGCACAGATCTACCCTCATTTCCGACAGGGTTTTATGACAAGGAAGTGTCCGCCACGCTGTCCCAATCCGTGTTGGCGAACTTCAAATGTCTTCGAAATATTTTTTTTATTTCTCGGACACGCAGGTTTCCTCACGATATTTTCCTTCACCGCCGAGCACGTGGTAAATCAGCACTTAAAATTCCAATTAGTTAACAATTTCATTGGTGCCGGCGGGGATCGAACCCGGGTTGCTCGCGAAATGTGGCTTTACCGCGAGTGCTAACCATCTGAGCTACCACGGAAGGGTACAGAGAGTCAGTATATTTACAGACTGCGAGGCATTCCATCTTAGTACTCAGAGTTGACAAAGACAGACACGCCTAGTACAGAAGGTACTAGGCGTGTCTAACTCTTTACGGAACCGACTCACTGATCCGAATCACTGAAGTGATTTAAAAGATTGGTTCAGTAACAACGTTCAAAATGCATCATTTGGATTTGATACATTACTTTGCTCTGTGCTCATTTCGCTACGCGTCGCTTGCGAGGCAACTGAGCCGCGAGCGAGAAAGTGACGAGTCAGCGGGTGAAATAATTATAATCTATACAATTCAGAAAGAGATAACAAATGAGAAGTGTATCATTCAACTCGTACGGATTTTCGCTATAGTTATTCATACACGTAAAAGTTACCACTAAGGCGCTTACGTATCAAATACTATACGGACGTTTTTGCATATAATGTATGCATTAACAAGTTGTCATTTTACGTTGGTCCGTCACTTGTTAAATTGTTTATGTTCGATCGCGCCTGTTTACGCAAACATACTGAGTTCTGTTTAGGATTTCTTTGCGTAGTGATTATTGTGACAGTAGTTACGTTGTACCAGTTCTGGCGCACTTGTAGAAAGGTTGTACCAGTTCTGGCGCACGACGTTCGTCGACTCACAATCCTAAAAAAAAAAAAAAAAAAAAAAAAAAAAAAAAGGTTTTGGCATGCTCTGATCACGAATCTGCGGTCCATTTTTGCATAGGATGCACGGTTCCGGAGATGTGCAGATCAATTAACTCTTATCTAATTGATATCCGCTGCGACCTCAACCGTCATTAGCGCTCCATTGTCCTTATCTACTTATCTATTGTTGATTGACTACCGTCATTATCTATTATTCGTCCAGCGTGTGGGTCGGCTTATGCTATTGTATTATACTCCTTTGTTCCTATCTACAACACTAATCTGAATCATCAATAAAACACATTACCTAATTTTGTTAAAATTTTTATTTATAAAATACAAAATCTTATTACTTATTATCTATAAAATAGGAGCGAAACATCTCATCCACTAACATCGTTGTACAATGTGTTCTCTGTAAATATACTCGTAAAACTATGCATTGAACATCCCTGAAACTTATATAGCAAATACATTAAGCAACATTTGCCACAAACTGAAGTCCTATCAACATTCCAGTTCCATCTTTTAAACACATTACCTAATTTTGTTAAAATTTTTATTTATAAAATACAAAACCTTATTACTTATTATCTATAAAATAGGAGCGAAACATCTCATCCACTAACATATCGTTGTACAATGTGTTCTCTGTAAATATACTCGTAAAACTATGCATTGAACATCCCTGAAACTTATATAGCAAATACATTAAGCAACATTCGCCACAAACTGAAGTCCTATCAACATTCCAGTTCCATCTTTTAAACACATTACCTAATTTTGTTAAAATTTTTATTTATAAAATACAAAATCTTATTACTTATTATCTATAAAATAGGAGCGAAACATCTCATCCACTAACATATCGTTGTACAATGTGTTCTCTGTAAATATACTCGTAAAACTATGCATTGAACATCCCTGAAACTTATATAGCAAATACATTAAGCAATATTCGCCACAAACTGAAGTCCTATCAACATTCCAGTTCCATCTTTTACAATTTCGTACAGGTGCCCGTCCATATGAATCAAAATATTCACCGACGTCATTCGTATCGATATATAAAGCTACCCAATGTGACCCTGGTTTATCATCTGTACCCAAATTGCATATTACCTAGTCAGGTCATAAATTCTATCACAGGTTTAATGTAAAATAATTGAAACAAGTTTATTCATTATGTAACCATTTATATACCAAAATGAACTTAACAAAACATAGATTCTTATGACACTATAGTTTATTCAAAATGACCTCCGTAATTTTGAATACAGGCCTTCAATCTGCGCGGCCAGTCGTCTATCTCACCACGAACGAGGTCCATGTCATATCGGCGGCTGCCTTAATTAAAGATGTCTTGAGTGACTCGAAATTGGGATGAGGCTTTGAGCACGCCTTTTCCTCCAAGTTTTACCATATCTTGTAATCTAACGGATTCAAATCTGGACTGGTCTTTGTGTCGGATGAAGTCGATTTCACGCGCCGCCAGCCAGTCTTTTTTTTTTAGGTTTTTCTCCTGTATCGTGGGGGCAGTTTACAAACACAAATTTCACAAGGACAAACATCCAAACTCGGAACAATTACTTGTAGGTCGTACAAATACTTGTTCCGTGCGGGATTCGAACCCGCGACCCCCAAGCGTAGCCACTCATTGCTAAGCCACTACGCCACGGAGCTGTCAAAGGTCTTGTGTGCTCTTCGCTCTATGAGCTGACGCCGAATCTTGTTGGAATACCCAGTGCCTGTTATTGAACATGGTATGAGAAACAGGTTACACAAGGTTCGTCAGGACTGTATTTTGATACACAACTGCATTCGTTTTTAACCTTTCTCACAAAAATGTACCTCTGTTAAGCCCCAATAAGAAACTCCCAACCATACCATGAGCGAGGATGTAAAATGACCTCGTTGGACACGCGGAATACGGTTGCTCGCTTCTTCACTACTGTGTGCGTACACCTTATCATTTTGTTTGTTGTAGCTCTCTTCTACGGTAAAAATTTTTTTATCCGAAAAAAGAATTTCCCGATATTTTTTTTTCCCGCGTACCGCTTCACCAAAGCGCGGCATCTCTTCAGTCTCAGTTCCATTAGACGAGCATTCAAACGATGTCCTGTTTTTCTTCGATATGCCCGAAGCCCTAAGTCTTCATTTAACGCCGTGGTTCTGCTTAACCCCATCTGAAGGGCCAACAGTTTCTGCTTAAGTTTGGGATTTCTTTGAATTCGCACCTTTACAGCTTTTATCACTGCTGGAGTCCTAACAAATCGAGGGCGACCACTTCTTGACCTGTCATCTACACTAGAGTCTTCATTGTATCGTTTGATGGTACGATAAACGAATCTTTTGGTTATATTCAAATTTTTCAGTATATCAAAAAATTTAATTGGCGCGTAATCGCAACTGCAACACGGTCTTTTTTAAGCGTCCACTCCATATGTAAAAATGAGTAAAATTCTAAAAAGTATACAGTTTTATTTTCATGAACAATTCGAATTCAATAAACTTTTTTGTGGCCAGCATTCTAAAAAAAAGTTTTTACTGTATGACAATACTTATGACCTGACTAGGTATATACGTTGGTACGTGGGTGTACATGGGCAGTCTGTTAGCAGCATAAACATTATTTTCTAGACTGGGGTGAATCTTTTTCAGATGTTGTTGTACATCTAGTGTATCCATGATATTACTGCTATTAGTAGATTACTACAGTACAATCTACTCAATGACTAACATAGGAATGATCAATTATGTGATTTCTAAATATTAAATTGCATTTTTTCTGTTATACAAAACGTATTTGAGTCATCAATACACTGAATAAGACGCAACACGAAGAATGTGAGATAAGGTTGTTGACGCATAAAGTTATTATCAATTCTACTGTAGAAATTCTTTAGATTAGAATTATTACTTACTGGTACTATATAAGACCAAGCAACTGCAGTCATGGAGTTAGTGTATGGTCGTTTGACCGCAGTGTATCTATCAATAATACATTTGTGTTACTTCAACGCATCAAAGGCCATAGATGTAAGTGTTTAATCTATTGACAAACTTACTTTTCTTTCTGTTATTTTTTTACGTGTGTATGATTTTGAACGACAGGCCTGTTGGTCTAGTGGTTAGTGACCCTGACTGTTATGCCGGAGGTTGTGGGTTCGATTCCCACCCAGGACAAATGTTTGTGTGATGAGCACGATCATTTGTTCTGTGTCTGGGTGTAATTTATCTATAATATTTATGTATTTAGAAATATATAAGTATGTTTATCAGTTGTCTAGTACCCATAACACAAGCTCTGCTTAGCTTGGGACTAGATGGCGTTGTGTGATAGTTATGGAATATTATTATTAATGTGGGGGTATCAATATAGTTTTCTCATCTGGTTGGGTTCTATAAATATATAATTATAGATTAAAATGAAAAGATACATAAATATCAATAAAATAAAACAAACACAAAAAATACACAAATAAATAAAGATCCAACCAGATGGAAGCCCTCGGCAGGGGAGACCAAACGGCCGAGGGTTAGGGGGAAAGGGAAAGAAACCGACGGACGATGCGGGCGGTATTGAGGACCACTGCCTTCTGCATTTGAGCCAGGAGCGGTCCGTCACGGAGTCCCAGTCGCCTCAGATGACCCGAGAGGCTGACTGGGATTAGCCCATTCGCAGAGACGACTACAGGAATAATTTCGGTCGGCCAACCACCCCACATGTCGGTCACCTCGTGAGCCAGGTCCAGATATTTTGTTCGCTTATCTGTTTCG